TTAGTTTTTACCATGTTGACCAGGCTGATCTTGAACTCCTGAACTCAAGTGATCCACCCACTTCGGCCGCACAAAGTGCTGGGATTACAGGCATGAGCCACCACACCCATCCAGAGTACATTTTTAAAGTTCTCATCACAAAAAGTGGTAAGAGTGTAAAGTGATGGAAATGTTAATTAGCTTGATTTAGTCATTCCAAAGCATGTAGCCTATATCAAAATATCACATAGTACTACATAAATATGTGCAATTTTTCATTTGTCCATGAAAAATATAAATAAAATATTTTTAGAATTTTAAAATAAAAATAAAGGAAAGCTCCTGTGAAGCACATATTTATTTTTGTTACACACCAGCTTTATCTCAACAATAAAATTCAAATTCTCCATCAAATATAATAAAGTTCTATTCCAATGAAAAATATTATAAGAAAATCAGTGTTGCCCATTCCTCTCCTATGCCCCAGCCCCTGGAGGATTAGAGTCCTCAGTTCATGATTCTTGGCAGGAATCACAGAAGGAGTCGGGGAGGAGAGAAAGAAGTCATTAACACTTCTTCTCACCCACAAGCTGCATGATTATTTGATCATTACTTGAGATGAACATTCTCGTTAATAACTTGGTAACTGGCTGGGCATGGTGGCTAATGCCTGTAATCCCAGAACTTTGAGAGGCCGAGGTGGGTGGATTAGCTGAGCTCAGGAGTTCAAGACCAGCCTGGCCAATATGGTGAGACCTTGTCTCAACTAAAAATACAAAAATGAGCCGGGCATGGTGGTAGGTGCCTGTAATCCCAGCTTCTAGGGAGGCTGAGGCAGGAGAACTGCTTGAAGCCAGGGGGCAGAGCTTGCAGTGAGCTGAGATCATGCCACTGCACTCCAGTCTGGGAGACAGAGTGAGACTCGGTCTCAAAATAATAATAATAACAACTTGGTAGGCTTTTGTTTTGTTTATAAACAGCAAATGTTGATTTCTCACAATTCTGGAGGTTGGAAAGTCCAAGATTAAAGTGTCAACCGATTTGATGTCTGGGGAGGGCCCACTTTCTGGTGCATGGACAGCACCGTCTCACAGTGTCCTCACATAGTAGAAGGGTGAACCAGCTCCTTTGAGTCTATTAATAAGTGCACTAATCTCCTGAAGGAAGGCTCCACCCTCATGACCCTACCACCTCTCAAGTAACTTGGGACTCTGAATTACCCAAGCATGAGAGACAAGATTGTACAAAGTGCCTGACTTTAAAATTCTGGAACAAGGGAAGAATTAGTCACAAACTAAACATTAAGTGATTCAAAAAAGAAAGTAGAATGGCATGAACAATGTAAGTTAATTGGATTACCTGAGTTGTAAGTTGGGTAATTTAAAAATATTTATTAGACTTTTATAGTTCTAGTCCTGGTGAATGAGATATTTCTATTCTTTCCACCTTTTGATACTGGGGTCTTAGAGATTTTCTCACTGGCCTGTGTGATGTGCCTTTACACTTTCGTCATGGCCATCAGTGTCTGTCTAAGCGGCCTCTCCAGCTTCTCTAGAGCTTTATTAGATTGAAGCAGAAGACCTGATGTCAGCGCTCACTTTCTATTCAGTTTCTACTCAAAGGTGTGATCCAGAAACGTTGACTTTTCCATCTAAGTTCTAAGTTGCATTCGGGTCAAAATCTATGCCTTATCTCTGCAGCGTTTGTAGCCGGAGTGGCGCTTTTGGCCTTACCAAACTTTCTCCCACTGAGTGGCATAGCCTCCTGTTAAATTACTTGTTTGACCTCCCAAGTCTTCCAAATTGTCTCCTTATGATCTCCCAGAAAACTACTGCGGGGAGATATATTTAAACTTGGTATTGAAATTGTCTTCAATAATAGAAAGCATTTTAAATAGAACCCCAGAAATGGCATCATTAGTTGATATTTTCAGTATTTTGTCACAGCAGGAAATATTCAGGGTTATGTTAAAAAAGATTCACTCTTTTGGATCTGGGCCTGGGTCTATACATAGCACCACACAGAGCATGTTCAGTGCCTCAATAATTAGGATTGGCACAAAAGCACTTGGCCTGAGCTGTAGTTTTGACTATGCATAAGTGCATAGTCAATCTTTAATGAACTGGGAAATTTCCTGAGCTGGAATCCTCTTTGATCTACTTGGACCTTCTGCTCCATCCACATCTTGACCAATGCTAGTACTCTCTGCTGATAAAGAATAAAAAGTATTATCTGTACCTGTCAACATCCAGCAACTGTATCTGGACTAGATTGATGAGGTCTGTACCTCTCTAATCAAGAGCATATTTGCTCTATCTTCAACAGTAATCAGATGATTCTCTATACTGTTAACTCAGAGATGTACCTTTTTCCTCTTTTTTTCTTTTATTTTTTTAAGAGACAGAGTTTCACTCTGTTGGCCAGTCTGAAGTACAGTGGTGCAGTCATAGCTCATTGCAGCCTCGAACTACTAGTCTCAAATGATCCTCCTTCCTCAGCCTCCCAAGTGTAGCTGAGACTGCAGAAGCAAGCCGCCATGCCCAGCTTCTTGTCTTTCTTTATACCAAAGAATCAAGTAGACATTTAGGGAGATTTTATCACTTAAGTTGGTTTGACCTCAAAATAGCTCCTTCTGAAGCTATCCTATTCTTTCATTTTTAATTCACTCATTCAACAACTATATGTGATACCACTACTTTATGCCTGGCACTGTCTGCCCACACCTTCATTTTGTTCCCTAGAGAATTAAAGAAAATCACATCATAGGACACTTGTATTACAGGATGCATAATGTCTTTGTGAGCAGTCATGTAAAAAATAAAATCATCCCACTCTTGCTTTAATGCATTAGTGTACCTAATGGTGAGAAACATTTCCCCAGAGGGAGCTGATTTTGCAAAGAACAAAGATTAGATGGGCAGAACCAATAAAGCAAGGAGAAGCGGATGCAGGAGGACACAGGAGGGGTGACTGATGGAACGCATAGCTGGGACTTGAAATTTCATTAGAGGTAATTCCACAGGAAAGCTGAAATTATTCAATTAGATATTTAAGAAGATTTGAGATTTCTCTCACAAAGAGACACCCTCCGGAGTATTTCACATACGCTTCAATTTCTTTTACAACTGCTTAGAACATTTTAGATATTTTACTCAAGTCACAGTGGCCTCTACAGTACAAGGCCCTTCAGGAGTGAGTGTCAGTTATGACCAATTAGGAAATGAACATGTCATGTCACTTTTGTTTTTGAAGTTTAACTTTTAATAATTACTAATATTAGGACAATAAAATTATCATGGTCAATTGTAGAAAGAGGTGTTCTGACCTGGCGCAATGACTCACGCCTGTAATCCCAGAGTTTTGGGAGGCCAAGGCAAGTGGATCACGAGGTCAGGAGTTTGAGACCAGCCTAGCGAACATAGTGAAACCTCATCTCCACTAAAAATAAAAAAAATTAGCCAGGCATGGTGACAGGTGCCTATAATCCCAGCTACTCAGGAAGCTGAGGCAGGAAAATCACTCGAATCCAGGAGGTGGATTTTGCAGTGAGTCCAAACCATGCTGTAACACTCCGGCCTGGGCAACAGAGCGAGACTCTGTCTCAAAATAGAGAGATGTGTTCTAATACTAATTGTAGGGTTCTTAGCATTTGTAGGAATGTCAGCATCATTCTGTGGTTGGCTCTCTCCTTTGCTTTGACTTTCATACAGGAAACCTTACAGAACTTGAGTAAATAGTATCCCTGTTTGCACTGATCTCAAATTTTCTGTGTTGTATGGTTCGTTAATGATACCAGCTGGAGGTCATTATCCGAAACTAAGGGTGGTGCAATGTAATGCAAAGGCGATATTTCCAAGGCAACCTCAGAGAGGTAGCCTTACAATCCTCATCCAATGCCTTTACGCAGCATCTGGGACAGATATAATTTATCTTGAGTTTCATGAGACTCAAATATCATACCTATGGAGTGGAAAGCAATGACAAAAATATTCTGGCAATTAGGACTCTACGAGAGGGCTGTGACTGTCTTGAGGTTGCCATGGGAGTCACTAGAATACCTAGAAATAATTGAAGAAATTTGCTCAATTGAAATGCTGTTGTCACTGTTCTATACATCTGCTGCCCAGACGGGCTTTCCATGGTAGCCCAGGCCACTGAATGCTCAGGAAAAAGGAAATTCTATGGAAGGTAGGTAAGATGTTGTGTCCTCCTCCTAGTGACAGAACAATGGAAGATTGGCTCTTCTGAAATGAAGCAAAGAAGATGCCAGGAAGCCTTCAGTGTACATGAACAAAGCCTTTCAGTTGACAGTGGAATCTGGGAATCACTGAATGTGCCACTAATTCATCATTTCCTTTTTGCAAAATGATTTTATTTGTATATATGGATTTTTAAATTCACTTGATGACTCTTTTAAAAGGTTTTATTTTATCCCCTTATTTGTCAAAGATGCTAAAAATGGTGATGACCATTTAATAAACATTTTAAAAACAGGCCAGGCATGGTGGCTCATGCCTCTGATCTCAGCACGTTGAGAGGCCAAGGTAAAAGGATCAATTGAGCTCAGGAGGTCAAGACCAGCCAGGGCAACAAAGCGAGAAGCCTCTCTACAAATAATAATAAGAGTAAAATTAGCTAGGCTTGATGGCTCACGCCTATAATCACAGCTACTCAGGGGGCTGAGGAGAAAGGATCGCTTGAACCTAGGAGTTTGTGGCTGCAGTGAGCAAGGATCTTGCCACTGCACTTGCTCCAGCCTGGGTGACAGAGTAAGACCGTCTCTAAAAAAAGAAAGTTACCAAGTTTCTTAGCTTATTTATTTTTATAGGATACCATAAATGACACAGTGCTTGAATTTCAGTAATAATGTTATGGCATAATTATTATTTGTATAAGAAAATGATTGGAAATTACCACGTGGGGAAATGGTGCAAGCGTCTTGATTTACAATGCTGTACTTGTACTCATAGTGCCATGGTGTTGATAAGCAAGCAAGAAATGATTGATTTTTTTTCTTCCAGCTGTTTACCTCTGCAAGAGAACAATGCAAAACAAGGCACGACTGGAGCTCGCAGACTATGAGGCTGTAAGTACCAAGGACCTTCTGGGAAAGACTCGTAGAATGCACAGCAGTAAGGCCCACGGGCTTTTCTGGACAGACTGTTGACTCTCCATTTTTTTCTTTTTCTTTTTCTTTTTTTTTTTTTTTCTGCGATGGAGTCTCGCTCTGTCGCCCAGGCTGCTGGAATGCAGTGGCATGATCTTGGCTCACTGCAACCTCCACCTCCTGGGTTCAGGCAATTCTTCTGCTTCAACCTCTTGAGTAGCTGGGATTACAGGCATGCACCACCACACCCAGCTAATTTCGTATTTTTAGTAGAGGTGGGATTTTACCATATTGACCAGGCTGGTCTCGAACTCCTGACCTCATGATCCACTTGCCTTGGCCTCCCAAAGTGCTGGGAACCACCACGCAGGCCCTCTTTTTCTTTTTCTATTTTTTTCTGTTGAGATGGAATTTCGCTCTTGTCACCTAGGCTGGAGTGCAGTGGCGTGATCTCGCTCACTGCAACTTTTGCCTCCTAGGTTCAGGGGATTCTCCTGCCTCAGCCTCCCGAGTAGCTGGATCTACAGGCGTGCACCACTATGCCCAGCTAATTTTTGTACTTTCAGTAGAGACTGAGTTTCACCACATTGGCCAGGCTGGTCTTGAACTCCTGACCTCAGGTGATCTACCCACCTCGGCCTCCCAAATTGCTGGGATTACAGACGTGAGCCACTGTGCCCAGCCTCATTCGTGGATCTGAAGGGTCAGATTTCCAGGGATCTGGCAACACACTGTGTTCATGAGTCCCTGCTTGCTTACTTCCTCTCTTCGTTCACATTGCATGTGGCAAAACCCTAAATACATAAACTCTAAGAGGGACGCATATCTTATTTTCTAAAATCAACTTAACTGTTGAAATGTCAGATACATAGATAGTGAAGATATCCAAACTCTGAGGATTAAAGACCATCTACCCTGGGAAAGAGTGGGTTTTGCCAAAATTTTAATCTGCTGATGGTGATCATCAGCAGATAAAAGTAAGCTGATGTCATTTGTGCAGATGGTTGCCATGTTTTGATTTACTGAATTCAAAGCACTGTGTAGGAATAGGCTGTGGGCTGCCAGGGTGCTACATGTATTGTCAGGAACTGAATAAACTGATTGCATTCGTAGTAGGAGTGTATTGCTGTTCTGTTCCTCTACAAAATGGGTACAGAAAAAGCCAATAGGTTCATCTGGAGCACCTCCTTACGGGCCAGGTAATTTTAGTATTTTGCAGATACATATTGGATTTTTAGTCCTGTTCTCCAAAGTCAGTAATTCAAAAAATTCATATTTGTAATAGGTTTTTCTACTTCCTCTAAGACTGCCAATATGAAGATGAGGTGAATTCAGGGAGCATGACTTATCATTCAGAACCATAGTACACTTGTACTTTAGAGACTGTCTGTCTCCTTGACAAATACAAGTGGTAACTAAGCTAGAAGAGAGCAGTGAAGAAGATGAACACCCGAATGTCTTCACCTGGGGTGTGTTTTTCAGGAGAGCCTGGCCAGGCTGCAGAGAGCCTTTGCCCGGAAGTGGGAGTTCATTTTCATGCAAGCAGAAGCACAAGCAAAGTGAGTCCTTGTGAGTCTTTTGGAAGATTTGTTCAGATTGTGGCCTTTTGTTCAGAAAAGCACTACCATTAACACTAAATGCTATCCATTGTTACCATGTTGACAGGGTGGACAAGAAGAGAGACAAGATTGAAAGGAAGATCCTTGACAGCCAAGAGAGAGCGTTCTGGGACGTGCACAGGCCTGTGGTAAGCAAGCATCACACACCCGTCCTGAATCCATCTTCCCCATCCGTGGGAAGTGAGGGGTGCCCTGCTAAAGTTAGAGAAAGACTGCAGTGACCCCAGGCGTGGCCCACAGAATCTTGGTGAATTCATTAAGAAAAGATTGCCACTTTTGGGTAGGATGAGTAGACCTCAGTAGTACCATATTTAATTTATAAAACCATACATTTTTCCACCATGACATCACTTGCTTACTCTTGGTATTTGAGGTGCCTGCTGCTTCTGTATACATTTGAAAGAAAAAAACACTGCAACAAAACAGTTTTTCATGTTTTATTGCTTACATTTTTCTAGCTTTATAGTAAAGGTGTAAGTCAAAATGTTATTCCTGCCGTGATTTTTCTTTTTCTCTCTCTTTCTTTTCCTTCCTTCCTTTCTCCCTCCCTCCCTCTTTCCTTTATTCCTTCCTTCCTTCCTTCCTTCCTTCCTTCCTTCCTTCCTTCCTTCCTTCTTTCTTTCTTTTTTTTCTTTTGTTGGGGGGTGGGGCAGTTGAGATGGGATCTAGCTCTGTGGCCCAGACTGGAGTGCAGTGGCATGATCTTGGCTCACTGCAACCTCTGCCTTCCAGGTTCAAGCCATCCTCCCACCTCAGCCTCCCAAGTAGCTGGGACAATAGGCATGTGCCACCACGCCTGGATAATTTTTTGCATTTTTGATAGAGATAGGGTTTCACCATAGTGCCCAGGCTGGTCTCAAACTCCTGAGCTCAAGCAATCTGACTGCATCAGCGTCCCAAAGTTCTGGGATTATAGGCATGAGCCACGGTGTCCACCTACTTTGGTTGTTGACCTTCACTAACTAACATTTCCTATGGCTGAAATTCAAATCAGCCCATACTTTTAATGACATAACATTGGATCTGCATGTAATAATTTAGCTGGCTTTCTTCCTTATGAATGTTAAACCATGTGCCTCAGAGTAACATTAATGAATATTCTTAATTAACATGAGAAAACTTTGTAGATGAAATTAAACAATGGTTATCAGCAACCATAAGACAACTTCATATACTTTCTATTTTGAATGCTATATTGTTTTCTTCTGTAGATTTATTTAAATGCAGACAAGGCACTAGCAAATAATATTTATATAAGTATAATTAGAATAAATAATAGGTTCAAAGCATGAAAGACAAATCAAGATTGATAAGGATACCGTACAATTTTCTCAAGTACCTTCAGAGTCAGACCAAAATAGAAAGTCTCCAAAGGTTTGTTTATATACTTACATATTTCAGCTTCAGATAGCAATGCAATTGTTAAATGCCATGTTGAATTTTCTCTCTTTTGAATTCTGAAAAGATTAGAATTGAGAATTAACTTGCTTTGCTACTCAAAATTCAGTTTGAGTTTCATTGTTCATGGAGAAAAAGGATTATGAGGCTATGTGCATAGCTATTGCAAGGACATTAAGGAGGACTTTTATTTTGTTTGTTTGGTTTAAGCAACCTCCAGAAATGAGTCAATACATTACGTTCCTATGCTTATCCACGTTGTCCCCTGGACATCTGGGGGCACATCGCTAGCCTCGTTCAGCTTCCATGGCAACCCAAGAGGGCCACACCATGCCGGCTCCCCTGCACCGCCCCCATCTGCTTCATGCTCTGAGACACTCATGCGCCCAGAGATGACAGCTGGTCCCACCTCAAACACCCCCCTACCCCATTGCCTAAGCTTCTTGTGTGCCCTTGTTAGAGCCAGGGCTTGCAGTAGCCTCAAGTTTCTGGGCTCAACCAATCCTCCCACCTCAGCTTCTTGAATAGCTGGGATGGCAGGTTCACACCACCACGCTGGGCTAATTTTTTATATTTTTGGTAGAGAGGGGGTTTTGCCATTTGTCCGGTCTGCTCTTGAATTCCTGAACTCAAGTGATCTGCCCACTTCAGCCTTCCAATGTACTGCGTTACAGGCATGAACCAATGTGCACAGCTCTTTCTTTCTTCTTTCTTCTTCTTTCTTCTTTCTTCTTCTTTCTTCTTTCTTCTTCTTCTTCTTTCTTCTTTCTTCTTCTTTCTTCTTTCTTTTTTCTTTTCTCTTCTTCTTCTTCTTCTTCTTTTCTTCTTCTTCTTCTTTTCTTCTCCTTCTCCTTCTCCTTCGTCTTCGTCTTCTTTTTTTTTTGGTGGTTGTTATTTTGAGATTAGGTCTTGCTCTGTTACCCGCTATCCACTGCAAGCCAGCAAGGAGCAAATATGAGTGTTATCCAAGAGGCCTCCACCACATCCTCCACTAGGCTTCCAACTAGAAAGTCGTCCCAAGGAGGGTTTGGAGGCAGAAACCACCCAGAAGCCATTGGCTCCATCTCCCTTGTTGAACTTGAAGATGTTTTTTTTTTTTTTTTTGAGACGGAGTTTCGCTCTTGTTACCCAGGCTGGAGTGCAATGGCGCGATCTCGGCTCACTGCAACCTCCGCCTCCTGGGTTCAGGCAATTCTCCTGCCTCAGCCTCCTGAGTAGCTGGGATTACAGGCACGCGCCACCATGCCCAGCTTATTTTTTGTAGTTTTAGTAGAGACGGGGTTTCACCATGTTGACCGGGATGGTCTCGATCTCCTGACCTCGTGATCCACCCGCCTCGGCCTCCCAAAGTGCTGGGATTACAGGCCTGAGCCACTGCACCCAGCCTTGAAGATGTTTATAAGGTCTTTTTATCACCTGCAATGAAGAGGACATGCTCTACCTTGTCATCGCTTATTTTCTAGAGGAAAATAGAGCTTCAGGTTGTCATGTGCCTCTGAGAATGGCATTCACCTAAGCCAACCCTACCTTAAACCATTTCTTTTTCTTACATTATAACATCTTGTATTACTTTAGAGGTAATACCTCTTGGCATTTTTAAAAATTTAAACATTTTTAAGTGACTTCAGGTACTTGTGAAGTGCTGATACTTGTCCAAAGGCCCCGTCTGCCATACAGCTGCTGGTGTTTATCTTGTTCTTAGCATTTTGAGTCCTTACTGTCAGTTAATTGACAAAGGTGATGATGACAGGGACATTAACAGAAAGATTCTTCTAAGAGAGCGCCTAATGCTGTTTCTTCAGCCAAACACGTAAGCTGTATATCTCTGTTTGCTGGCTATGTTATTAACTAAGCAATGACAAGAACTTTCTAAGGTAATTTGGCCTCCTCAAGAAAAAAAGTGGTATAGGGGAAAACAGCAATACCGTGATAATTTCCAAGAAAGTCTATACTTTTACATTTGTCCCTAGAAATGAATTCTGCAGCTATCGTAATCAATCCTAATATATTTAGACCCTAAATCCTGTAAAGCAGAGTTAAAGTTAAATAGGTATTTCTGTAACTCAGTTTCTTCTTCATAGTTTGTCCTAACTGTGGCTGTAATGAAATACTCTTGGTACCCTGTAGTATTCATTGTAAAATTTAAGTGTCTGCTAGACAGGATCTGTTATCACCAAATTATTGCCACCTGAGCAATCTAGAATCCTTGACCATGTGTAGGAAAATACCAGAGAGTATCTCAAACTGTCCAGAGGCATAATCTGGTATGGCCTGGTGCCTGCTATTGCATACCACCCCTCACAAGAAGATGTGCATACCTAAGAGACCGTCCTGTTGTGCACATTTCCAGTTTTTATTATGTCAGCCAATGACCAGTAGCCAAAGGGAATACTAAAACAGCCTATTTAATAATGAAATTGCTAATTTAAAATGGACAAAAGATCTGAACAGACAGTGCACCAAAGAACATACATACACAAAGGGCAAAAAGACGCTCAACATCACATGTCATTAGGGCAAAATTAAAGCAACAGTGAGATACCATTGCACACCTATTAGCATGACTAGAATCCAAAACACTGGCAACATCCAATGCTGGTGAGGATGTGGAGCATCAGGAACTCTCGTTCTCTGCTGGTGGAAATGCAAAATGGTACAGCTACTTTGAAAGACAATTTGAGTTTCCCATAAAACTAAATGAACCATTACTTTATGATATAGCATTCACACTCCTTGGTATTTACCCAAATGAGTAGAAAAGTTCTGTCCACAGAAAAACCTACAAATGTTTATGGTAACTTTATTCATAATTGCCAAAAAATTGGAAACAATCTTGATGTCCTTCAAAAGATAACTGTGGTATATTCATACAATGGAATATGTATTAGTCGGTTCTCATGCTGCTAAAAAAGACATAACCAAGACTGCGTAATTTATAAATGGTTTAATTGACTCACAGTTCAGCATGGTTGGAGAAGTCTTGGGAAACTTACAATCATGGCAAACATGTCCTTGTTCACATGGTGGTAGCAAGGAGAAATGCAGAGCAAAGTAGGGGAAGCCCCTTTAAAACCATCAGCTCTCATGATAACTCACTATCACGAGAAAAAAGTGGAGGTAACCACCCCCATAGTTCGGTTACCTCCCACAACACGTGAGGATTATGGGAACTACAATTCAAGATGAGATTTGGGCAGGGACACAGCCAAACCATATCAGAATGTTTTTCAGTGATAGAAAGGGATGGGCTATCAAGCCACAAAAAGACATGGAGGAACCTTAAATGCATAGTACTAGATGAAAGACACCAGCCTTGGAAGGCTAGATATCACATGATTCCAACCCTATGACATTTTGGAAAAGGCAAAACGACAGAGACAGGAAAAAGGGGAGGGATTGAAAGGAAAGCAGGGAGTGATGAAGAGGGAGAGCACAGATTTTTAGGACAGTGAAAATATTTTATAAGATACCTGAATGGTGGATACATATTATTATACATTTGTCACAGTCTATAAAACACATGTAGCACCAACAGTGAACCCCAATTTAAGCTCTGGATTTTAATTACTATTAATATATGAATATTGGCTCAACAACTGAATCAAATGTACCACATCAATTTAAAATGTTAATACAGGGGACTTTGGGGTGGGATGAGGGGACATAAGGGAATTCTCTGTACTCTGTGTTACACTTTTCTATAAACCTAAACTACTCAAAAAAAAAGTCC